AATTTTTGCAATTTTTGCAATTTTCAGGGATTTTTGCGATTTTTGCAATTTTCAGGGATTTTTGCAATTTTCAGAGATTTTTCTAATTTTCAGGACTTTTTGCAATTTTTGCTATTCTGCAATTTTCAAGAATTTTTGCGATTCTTGCAATTTTCTGTCATTCTTGTGATTTTCGCAATTTTCAGAAATTTAGGAATTTTCACTTTCCCGAAATTATTGCAATTTTCAGGAATTTTTGCAATTTTCAGGAATTTTTGCAATTCTCAGGAATTTTTGCAATCTTTGCTATTTTTGCAATTTTTAGTAATTTTTGCGATTTTTGCAATTTTCAGGAATTTTTGCGATTTTTGCAATTTTCAGGGATTTTTGCAATTTTCAGGAATTTTTGCGATTTTTGCAATTTCTACAATTTTCATGAATTTTTGCGATTTTCGCAATTTTCAGGAATTTTTGCAATTTTTGCAATTTTTAGGAGTTTTTGCGATTTTTGCAATTTTCAGGAATTTTTGCAATTTTCAGAAATTTTTGCAATTTTTGCTTTTTCTGCAATTTTCAGGCATTTTTGCGATTTTTTTCAATTTTCAGGAATTTTTGCGATTTTTGCAATTTTCAGGAATTTTTGCGATTTTTGCAATTTTCAGGCATTTTTGCGATTTTTGCAATTTTCATGAATTTTTGCGATTTTTGCAATTTTCAGGAATTTTCAGGAATTTTCAGGAATTTCCACAATTTCAGGAATTTTTGCAATTTTTGCTATTTTTGCAATTTTCAGGAATTTTTGCAATTTTCAGGAATTTTTGCAATTTTTGCAATTTTCAGGGATTTTTGCGATTTTTGCAATTTTCAGGGATTTTTGCAATTTTCAGAGATTTTTCTAATTTTCAGGACTTTTTGCAATTTTTGCTATGCAATTTTCAAGAATTTTGCGATTCTTGCAATTTTCTGTCATTCTTGTGATTTTCGCAATTTTCAGGAATTCACTTTCCCGAAATTATTGCAATTTTCAGGAATTTTTGCAATTTTCAGGAATTTTTGCAATTCTCAGGAATTTTTGCAATCTTTGCTATTTTTGCAATTTTTAGTAATTTTTGCGATTTTTGCAATTTTCAGGAATTTTTGCGATTTTTGCAATTTTCAGGGATTTTTGCAATTTTCAGGAATTTTTGCGATTTTTGCAATTTCTACAATTTTCATGAATTTTTGCGATTTTCGCAATTTTCAGGAATTTTTGCAATTTTTGCAATTTTTAGGAGTTTTTGCGATTTTTGCAATTTTCAGGAATTTTTGCAATTTTCAGAAATTTTTGCAATTTTTGCTTTTTCTGCAATTTTCAGGCATTTTTGCGATTTTTTCAATTTTCAGGAATTTTTGCAATTTTCAGCTGATTATGGTCTCATTCGATTCAACGAGTCGAAAATGCCTCGGTGACTATATCGTATGGAAGTCTTAGGTGGGAAAATGAAAATTGCTATTTGGCCTATTAAAAATCTGAAAAAATCCACATAGACCAATTTGATATCGAAATGAACGAATTTGTGGTGGAAATCAAGAAATTTTGGAAAATGGGGACGTAGTAGTCTACCGGAGTACTCCTATTGGCAAAAAAGCAAAGAGCTGACTTTGAGCGCCGATATCTCTAAAACTATCTGTCTTATGGGGCTGATTATGGTCTCATTCGATTCAGCGGGTAATTTTCTACTGGAAAAGCGATAATTCGCCTGAATTTCTGCCGTTTTCTGGCACTTTCGGCCGTCTGAAAGTGGCTCGGTGACTATAACGTATGGAAGTCTTAGGTGAAAAAATGAAAATTTCTATTTGGCCTATTAAAAATCTGAAAAAATTCACATAGACTGATTCGATATCGAAATGAACGAATCTGTGATGGAAATCGGGTAATTTTGGAAAATGGAGACGTAGTAGTCTACCGGAATGCTCCTATTGGCAAAAAAGGCGAAAAGCTGACTTTGAGCGCCGATATCTCAAAAACTATCTATCCTACGGGGCTGATTATGCTCTCATTCGATTCAACGGGTCATTTTCTACTGGAAAAGCGATAATTCGCGTGAATTTCTGCCGTTTTCTGGCACTTTCGGCCGTCCGAAGATGGCTAGGTGACTATATCGTATGGAAGTCTTAGGTGGGAAAATGAAAATTGCTATTTGGCCTATTAAAAGTCTGAAAATATTCTCATGGACTAATTCAATATCGAAATAAACGAATCTGTGGTGGAAATAAAGGAAATTTTGGAAAATGGGGACGTAGTAGTCTACCGGAGTGCTCCTATTGGCAAAAAAGCGAAAAGCTGACTTTGAGCGCCGATATCTCGAAAACTGTCTGTCCTACGGGCCTGATAATGGTCTCATTCGATTCAACAGGTCATTTTCTACTGCAAAAGCAATGATACTTGTGAATTTCTGCCGTTTTCTTGCACCTTTGGCCGTCCGAAGATGGCTCGGTGACTATATCGTATGGAAGTCTTAGGTGAAAAAATGAAAATTTCTATTTGGCCTATTAAAAATCTGAAAAAATTCACATAGACTGATTCGATATCGAAATGAACGAATCTGTGATGGAAATCGGGTAATTTTGGAAAATGGAGACGTAGTAGTCTACCGGAATGCTCCTATTGGCAAAAAAAGGGAAAAGCTGACTTTGAGCGCCGATATCTCGAAAACTATCTATCTTACGGGGCTGATTATGCTCTCATTCGATTCAACGGGTCATTTTCTACTGGAAAAGCGATAATTCGCGTGAATTCCTGCCGTTTTCTGGCACTTTCGGCCGTCCGAAGATGGCTCGGTGACTATAACGTGGGAAAATGAAAATATTTATTTGACCTATTAAAAATCTGAAAAAATTCACATAGACCAATTCAATATCGAAATGAACGAATCTGTGCGGAAATCGGGAAATTTTGGCAAATGGGGACGTAGTAGTCTACCGGAGTGCTCCTATTGGCAAAAAAAGCAAAAAGCTGACTTTGAGCGCCGATATCTCAAAAACTATTTGTCTTATGTCAAAGGTTGGAGTCCACTTTCGGTACAACCGGAAGTGCCACAATCTTCAAAATATTTTAGCCGGATAGCACTGATCAACAACAACAATTCTCAATTTAAATGACAGATGTAAATGTATAACCCCTCATAGTTGTTTTTTTTGTATTCAACTTTTCAAGTTCATAGTTGTTAGTTCAATTTGATTCTTAGTTCAGTTGAATCTACAGTGTGTCCCACTTACCATGCTCACCATGGGTATCTTTTTAACGGTGAGAGATACGAGGTCGGTTAAATGACACCAAATGTAGAGTTTGTCAAGGCCAACTATAATGTGAAAAAATATTTCGATAAAATCTATTCGTTTTTGTTTTTATACGCAAAAAACAGATTTTGATCATTTTCATGTCTCCTCCGTAACTTCTTTATTTATGAAAATATTCAAATAGGAATTTCACATTCTCATGGCAGTTTTTCAAAATGATTTCGAAAAAAATATGAAATTTATACCAACTCTTCTAATATTTGAGATATCAGCACCAACTTTAGTTTTTCAATGTAGGTCATAGCTCACTATGACTTGGTTACAAATAACTTTTTTTTCTCTTACAGATGATATGTCGCAGTAATAGTTTTGTGTTGATATAACAACGGAGTTATCGTCATTTATACAAAAACAAAAAATGATTTGGATGCCGCCATCTTGAATTCATAAATTTCAACAAAAAAAATCATGATCTCCGACCTCAAAAAACCTCACCAATTTTGAATGTAATCGGACCAAATCTTGTCCGCCATCTTGGAGCAGCCATTTTTCTTAATTTCAGCGAAAATTCCATAACTTCGATTAACTTGAAATTTGGCAGGTGTTCATAATTTCGGTGACAATTCATTATGGAATTTTTGTTGAAATTAAAAAAAATGGCTGCTCCAAGATGGCAGAAAGATTTGGTCCGATTACATTCAAAATTTGTAAGTGGGGGTTTTTGAGGTCGGAGATCATGATTTTTTTGTTATAATTTATTAATTCATGATGGCGGCTTCCAAATAATTTTTTGTTTTTGTTTAAATGACGATAACTCCGTTGTTATCAACACAAAACTATTACTGCGACATATCATCTGTAAGAGAAAAAAAAGTTATTTGTAACCAAGTCATAGTGAGCTATGACCTACATTTGAAAAACTAAAGTTGGTGCTGATATCTCAAATATTAGAAGAGTTGGTATAAATTTCATATTTTTTTCGAAATCATTTCGAAAAACTGCCATGAGAATGTGAAATTCCTATTTGAATATTTTCATAAATAACGAAGTTACGGAGGAGAAATGAAAATGATCAAAATCTGTTTTTTGCGTATAAAACAAAAACGATTAGATTTTATCGAAATATTTTTTCACATTATAGTTGGCCTTGACAAACTCTACATTTGGTAAGTGGGACACACTGTATAAACCCAGCATGAGCATTCTTATTTGTAACCGAAAGTGAGATAGATATAGTGATGCACCTCTTCAGACACAATAGAGCTTTCCAACACTTTCCTGTGCCTTTCCACGAAATCTTTTGGTCCAAATGCCCACGAAGGGACGCCAAGTTCGTCCATATCGTCGTGGAAATTAAAGATGGCAAATGCAATATGGCGGACGAATTTATTAATTATGATCCGATTCTATTCAAATTTGGTATCTGGGGGTTTTCGAGGTCAAAGATTATGATTCTTTCGTCAAAATTAGGAAATTCAAGATGGCGGCTCCAAAATGGCGGACCAGTTTTGTACTTATGATCCGATTCTATTAAAAATCTGGGGGTCTTCGGGGTCGGAGATTATGATTCTTGCATCAAAATTGGATAATTCAAGATGGCGATTCTATTAAATATTTTTATCTGGGGATTTTATGGGTCAGAATTATGATTCTTCCATCAAAATTGAATTTTCACGAAAGCTTGTATTTAAAAATGTATTTTTGTATTCCCTTGTTTTTTCAACTAGTTACTCTGAGCATTCTTACTTGTAACCGAAGGTGAGGTCGATCCAGTGATGCAATTTTTCCGACACGATAGGGCTTTCCAACGCTTTCCTATGCCTCTCGACGAAATCTTCCGGTCCAGATGCCCACGAAGGGACGCTCAGATCGTCCATATCGTCGTGGATACTCCGGAAAATGTTCGGATTGGTGTAAAACTCCGGTATGCACTCGTCCGGTGTCCATTCCTGTATCCTCTGGATGGAAATAGATGTTTTCAATCTTAAATCCTCAAGCTGGATTTATGCAGCAAAAATGTCACTTTCAACTAATATATGCACTTCAACTCTAAATAAAAAGTTTAAACTCTGTTATACATAATTGATTTTATGCAGAGAAATAGAAACTAAATTTGAACTATCAAGTTGGCCAATTTTTGAACTTTCTGGTGTAAACGTCGATTTTTGGAATTACTGCTCAATTGTTGGTGTTTAAGAAACTAGAAGTTTATAACCTCCAAAATATGTGTGATGTTCTCGGAATTTCTTCTTCATCATCATCATTTCCAATTGTGTAATCTTTTTATTATAATGGCAAACGACTCAAACGGGGATGGCCCATTAATTGATCTCGACATTTGCCAATGCTAAAGCTATTCTTTGCTTTTACACCGTTACCACCGATAAAACAAGGCCTGCATGCTCCGTGGGTGACGTCACTTAGTCAGGCCTAACCAGCGGCTCGAAACGACAAGCGCTATAAGGCGACCGCGTATTTCGATTTTAGTTTTAGATCATTATTGAGCCGATTTTGCTTTTTTTTGAAGGGCTTCCGGTTGAAAGAGGATGCCAGCCGTCAACTGAGCCCTTCTTCGCATCCCGTTCGATTTTATTATGGAAAACGAAGTTTCAAAGCAAAAACCATAATAAAACACAAATACCCACCTACAGCAACCCATTCGAATTAAATATATTGGCAAAAATTGTAGTGATTCAATCTCATTAGAGGTAAACTTCACACCTAGTTATACAGGGCCCGCAGAACATAAACTTATCATGAGATTGATCGAAAGAAAATTGGGGAAAATGTATTTTAGTTTGCGAAATATGTTTCAAAACCCTCTTTTTTCTGATTATCAAGACATTTTCCCGAATTATGTATCTCGTTTTTATCTATTTCAATTAGTAATTCCTTATTGATTTGATTGATATTATTAGAGATAAAAGGTGTTTTCAGATTGGCTTTTAGAGATGTTTGTATCGCTAGGTCATACAAAAATGATTCCACATTCAAAACAAAATCAATCACAACCGAATATGTAATTACGGGCCCATATTTTTGTCTGGAGGAGAATGCAAATTCTCAATTTCAGAAGTTTTGATATTTTATTTTCGAACTCTTATCGTGTGTGTTCAATAGATTATTTCAATGTTCGTCGTGGCATATAGCCAGGAAAGTAGTTGTTTTCTATTGAATCAACTGAAAAAGAGTAAATATTCTCATCACATAGAGAATACGAATTCTCAATATATTGCTTTATATAAATATATATCCATTTTTGTATGTTCATAATTTATCTGAGAATATTCCTTTTCAACACATTCAGCACAATGTTGCCAAGTCTCCAACATTTACATGATATTTTGTCATGGAGTAAAGGAAATATTTGGACATGCTGGATTATCGAAAAAGTCAAGAATGAACTATAATATCATGGGTTCCTCCTTTTATGTTTTATTCAATGACAGGACTCTTACATCTTTTTGATAATTCGATTATAATTGGTGACTTGACAACCTTGCTTCGTGGGTGGGAATGGAAGATTATCTGACCAATAACGGAACAGCATAAATGACGTCACCATTCATTCGACGTATCGCCAAATGGTGTCCATGACGGTACGTTTGAAATGAGCTCCGAGATTCAACAATATCGAACAACGGATACACTCATTATTTACACAAAAAAAAATGCGAGAAGTGTTGCAAAAACTAATTCAGGTCCCTAACGACACAGTGGAGTAATAATAAGCCAATAATTCATTATCAAGTCCACTCGCCCATTGATTTTGTCATTCATTAAAATAAAAAATGTGATCAGTGCCGTGCTCCAAAAATGTTACATTAATTTTTATCACTGAAAATGCGAAATACCTAACTCCTTGTATATTGATTGAATTGGTACGACATATTCTCCATGCAGATTAAAATACGGTGTAACTGATTAACTTGAAAGGGTTGATAGCAAATACATATTATTACCTCGTTTTACTTGCTGAAATTTTCATATACAGTGTGACCCATTTAAGATGGAAGCACCCTTATAAAACTTACATTTTTCAACCGATTGGAATGATTTTTTTGTTGTTAGGTAGACATTCAAAAAGTCTATTAGGACACCAAATATCATGAATAAATCTCCATTTCCAGGGCCAACTAATCTGATTTTTCAAGGTCAAAAATCTAAAAAAATTACTAGCGATTTTTTTAGAAAAAATCTGACTACACCACTGGATTTGTGACATTTTCAAATGGGTAACATGTAAATCACGTTGAAATGCGTCAATCAATAAAAAAGTTATAAAGGAATGAAATTTGAAAAATATGCCGTTTAATCAACCCACCAATTCATATTCAGGAATTTTATGAAAATTCTGTATACTCCACTGGATTCAGGATGTCTTGAAATATTACTGATCACAGTTTCATCGAAATCTGTTCAGTAGTAAAAATTGATGGGTTGATTAAACGGCATATTTTTCAAATTTCATTCCTTTATAACTTTTTTATTGATTGACGCATTTCAACGTAATTTACATGGTACCCATTTGAAAATGTCACAAATCCAGTGGTGTAGTCAGATTTTTTCTAAAAAAATCGCTAGTAATTTTTTTAGATTTTTGACCTTGAAAAATCAGATTAGTTGGCCCTGGAAATGGAGATTTATTCATGATATTTGGTGTCCTAATAGACTTTTTGAATATCTACCTAACAAAAAAAAAATCATTCCAATCGGTTGAAAAATGTAAGTTTTATAAGGGTGCTTCCATCTTAAATGGGTCACACTGTATAACTTGGAGCGAATAATACATAAATAAAACAATTTTTGTATTGGTATAACATCCTCCCGAAATCAATGCAATAATGCCTTCCTAGGAAAGTAACACTTACGATTTTATACGTCTATACGAATTATGTAATCCAATGTTCTGCGTGGCATATAGCCAGGAAAGTAGTTGTTTTTCTCTCGTTATCTACCATTTTCGTTCATTTTATGATCTATTGTGGTAATGACTTCGAGTTTCTCCCTATTCGTGATACCGCTTTCTATTTGTCAAATAATTTGTGTACAGTGTCGAATGCCTTACATAGATCTACGAACGAGAAGCCACATTTATAATTTTCATCTATCAGCGACTGGATCTTCAAGAACTCAGCAACCCCTACAGCTAGTGGTAAATACATGAAAAACGGCGTGTTTGTCGTAAATTTTACAACACGCGCCCGCTGGATGATTAAATCAGTGAAATCTACCTGTATAGAACTAGGATATTCTGCTGGTACCCAAACTGTCCGCACGTTTTTGCACAGCACCGATTTGGGAGTTCTTCTCGCCGTATAAACATAGTAGGTGATGGGGGACAGCACGTCCGAAACGTGATGCGGCACCTGCGATTGGCTGTTGCCGTAGGTCAGGTCCAGCTGATGGTCGCCCTTGTTGAGCCTGTACTTGGATTTCTTCAGGTCGCGCCAGTTCTTTCCGCACCTGGAATGTACAGTGTGTCCTGTTTTCAATGCTTTAGCGTGAGATTTCGGTTATCTCCCGAGATAGAACCTTGCGGTTTTCATTTTGCATAACTGTTTCCGTTTATGAGATATAGGGCGATTTTGATAATTTATACTTTTTGGACCCCCTCTCTCTCTATCTACGAAGTTTATCAGCGAAAATATCAAATCAAAATATCATCCCATAGAGAATTTTACGCAGAATCCAGTGGCGCACTCAACATTTTTTGTCGGGGTATGGTTTTGGAGATACGACTCAAAACTTATGATTTTTTAAATGGAACTGAATTTTACAAGCTCATTGAATTCCCCATTTTTTTTCTCTTCAAAATGATATTAAATGCTGAAATATTACTATAGAACATTGAATTTTGATAGTGGGCTATGGATTTTTCATACAAAAAAGTTCCAATTGTAGGAATATTTCTTTTGATTTTTCCATAAAGAGGACTAAAACAATAGCAACACTAATTTAGTAAATTAACACAATAGGTACAGGGTGGTTCAAAATTAAGTTTTTCAACCACCCTGTATCTATTTCAATTGAATATCAATTGATAGTACATGAAAAGTAGAGATAGGGACATAAAAACCGTTTCGACTAATTATGAATAGAGTCGACACAAGAAATTCTTGAAATTGAAAAATCTCGATTTTTCACACCCTATATCTTTGTTATCATTCCCGCTAGACCCCAAGTGTAATAGATCGATGAAATCAACTCTTTAGGAAGAATCTGAAAATGGAATAATATATAGAGAGTATCCTTGTCGCGAATTTTGTGACGTTCAGTTATACTTTTTTATGTTGAACTCACCGTTTCCGAGTAAATAATTATTACGTTCGCAAAAATGCTGTTTAGATGTGCCTGTTTTTCTGAAACCCTTTATAGGCATTTTATGAAAATTCACATATGTGAGTTTGAAACCATGAAGAACAATATTATGAAGTCAGTTTTCCTGTGAAAAAATGCCTAATATGATTTATTAAAAAACTGACCCTTATTCATTTCAATAAAAATGCACGGCACTGTCAAAAATGATATTTGCCTTTGAAGAACTGGTCAGTTCAATAAATACGCACGACACTATCCAAAATAATGTGCATCTCTGTAAAACTGATCATATATTGATGATTATTCATACCGATACAAATTTGGTAAAGATCGCACGACTGATAGCTGAGATATATATAGGGGGGACCGTTTGAAATGAGACCAGTGTATATTACTTGGCGATTCTGGAAATTCTTTTCTAACACATGTTTGAACTAAAAAAAAGCATATCTAATCTTGTTTCAGTAAAAATCACAGAAAAATCTATAATTTGGCATTTCTGTAAATTTATGTCTCAACACATGTTTAAAATGTGCTAACAAAGCATACAACACCACCTTTAATATTTTATATCCCTAGATCAAGCTTGCAAACAACCATTGTCTAGTGAAAATCACAGAAAAATCTATAATTTGGCATTTCTGTAAATTTCTGTTTCAACACATAACACCATCTTATTTAATATTATATACTACTAGATAAAACTTGAAAACAACCATTGTTTCAGTGAAAATTACAGAAAAATCTATAATTTGGCATTTTTGGAAAAGTTTGTCTTAGAATGGGCTAAGGAAGCATATACACCACTGAAAAGGGGTATTCTCAGATGTGTTTCAGTGGAAATCACAGAAAAATGAGAAAAATGTGGGCTATATAATTCTTTATGATTTTTAGACAATTTTCAGAGATATGAGGATTTTGTATGTTTTTATTCATAAATTGACATTTTTCTCGACAACTGTTCACTTCAGAGCATTAAAGCAAGAGAACCTTTTTTATGTGAAAGATATTGGCACTTCAGAATAGGCTTTGAAAATTACAATTTTTTCAGTGGTATGAAAGTTTGGTGGGATAAACCCTTACGAGGCATTGAACTCTCCGCCACTGGCATGTCCAAGGAAATTGATCAAGAGCCTTAGAAGTAGTCATTATTAATTATGAAGTGTGTACAACTCCATAGCCCAAATGGTTCCTGAGATAGGAGCAAAAAACTGAATTTTTTTTGATGCCCTGTATATAGAAACCTGGGGAAAAATTTCGTTAAAAAAAATTCTCTTTTTTTATGAGGAATCTACAGTTTTTCGTTGTGACACTTATTTTTCAACACCCTGTATATAACTTGAAAACTACCCTTGCTTCAGTAAAAATCATAGAAAAAACTATAATTTGGCATTTCTGGGAATTTCTTTCTTACCACATGTATGAATTGACTAAAAAGTAACAGAAAAATAAATCATTTCAAGACTAATTTTCTTATCAAATATGTCAAAATAAACCAAAAAAGCTTATCCATCTCATTTCATATTTCTTGATCCAGTGAAAATCACTGAAAAATCTATTATTTCAATAATTGTGTATTTTTAGGGGTACAAAATATGAAATGGGGTAGATATATTTTCTTAATCAATTTTAAACATTTGGTGAAAAATAAAGTTTCAGATATATGTCACATTATAGTGTTAAACTCATTTTATTAACAATATGTTAAAGTTTCTCTAGTTCAAGAAGTTCAGATTTTTGTGTATAGAAATATTTCATCAAATTTTCATCACTTTGATGAAGATCACCAATATTGTTTCTGGCATCACCATTTCTATTTTCACACCCACACTATTTTCTATAAAAAAATCATCAGATATTCATCATGAATGAAAAATGTAATATACAGGGTGTCCGCTAAAAGGAGGTCAATCCATTAACCATATATTCCTTGAACAAAAATAATATGAGTTTCTAAATACCATTTTTCATTTTAGCCCTTCTTATCCGATATACAGAGTGTCAAAGTTGGAAATTGAAAACTGTTTTTTTCTAATTACTCGCGTAATTAATAAGATATTAATCTCAAAATTGGTACATTACTTCAGCACAAAAAGTTACATCGTGTGAGGAAAACGAAACAGAAAATAACTGTCAAATATTCAAAATACTGGGGGTCAAGTACACACTTACCCCCATATTTCTTTTGTACGTGCGCTAATGACTTCCTATCTATTTTTCTTCAGGTGTTCAATCATTTTTGAGTTTTTTTTTTTTGTAAAATTCCGATAAAATTATTTGTTTTTAAGATAATTCGAAAAGTACTGGTTATTGTTTGATGCCTCGCGGCTTACGGTAATCTTATAATGTTCACATACTCCTATTTATTTCGTCGAAATTGGAAGAGGGCGTATCTTATTACGTACCGAAAGGTAAATATGGAAATACCGGGTGCTCAGAGCGAATGTATTAAAATAATTTTTACACTTTTTTAATTTTTTTTTTGCAAAAATTATGTTAGTACAATTGCTCTGAGCACCCGGTATTTCCATATTTACCTTTTCGTATGTAAAAAGATACGCCCTCTTCCAATTTCGACGAAATAAATGAGTATGTGAACATTATGAGATTACCGTGAGCCGCATAGGCATCAAACAATAACCAGTACCTTTCGAATTATCTTGAAAACAAATGATTTAATCGAAATTTTACGAGTAACAAAAAATACTCAAAAATGATTGAACACTTGAAGGAAAATAGATAGGAAGTCATTAGCGCATGTACAAAAAAAATATGGGGGTAAGTGTGTACTTAACCCTCAGTATTTTGAATATTTGACAGTTATTTCCTGTTATGTTTTCCTCACACGATGTAACTCTTTGTGCTGAAGTAATGTACCAATTTTGAGATTAATATCTTATCAAATACGCGAGTAATTAGAAAAAAACCGTTTTTAATTTCCATCTTTGACACCCTGTATATCGAATATGAAGTGCTTAAATGAAAAATGGTATTTAAAAACTCATATTGTTTTTGTTCAAGGAATATGTGGTTGATGGATTGGCCTCCTTTTAGCGGACACCCTGTATGGTGAGTGATAATAAAGATTACAACTACTACTACCTAGAAGAAAAATCAGTCACCCAAGGAAAGACATAATGGCAATTTGGATCCCCCAAAACTCTGCCACTCAGCTCGTTCAGAGCTGAAACATAGGTGAAGTTAGATATTTGGCCAAAAATCCACAAATGACACAACTCTTCCAGAGTCTGCTCATCAACTTTAACTTTATCATGAGCCTGTAATCCACAGTATTCACATTCAAGCTTGTGATTTATCACATGACCCATTCGTTGACAGTCCCGGATAGTACTGAAGCCCTTCCTAGCTTTTATATCACCTTCCTCATAAAGATTAGACTCAATCTGGGGAAAAATGTAAAGCCACATATCCTCATTAGCAAAAATATCATTCAAACTGATATCACCTAAAGTCAATGATCTCTCATGTAAATCCTTCAGCACATTCAATAACTGGTAAACAATAAACAAGGATTTAGTGTAACTGTTGTCTAGAATTGCTGGTGAGAAAGTTACACAGTCATTCAAGTTATATTCTAAATAGGGTACATGTAGGAGAAACATAGCCCCAGTAGTTTCTACAGCACACACTACAGGCATTATATTCAAATGCATATCAATTTGTTTGGAGTTTTCTGTGCTGGCATTGGGATCACAGGTATTGATTATGGGGCACCCGTATATCCTAGAAATCACATCTCTCAATACTTTGTTATAGTCAGTCAGATTCAATAATGTTTCTTTGTTTTGCTTGGAGGCATAATACTTTTTGTATGCTTCTTTCCATAACCCAACATGATTGGTGTGTGCTATATATTGCATTAGTTGTGGAAATAAAAAGGGCTCTTCATCTCTAACTGGTCGTATTCTAGGTAGAGGTATGACTTTGCAGTTTTTCTTGTTTATAACAGTAATGAATATTTTCATCCAAGATGAACTGATTTCCTCTTCAGGAGAAGGCCATATTTCCCCAGACTTTTCTATAAAATCTATAAGCTTCAAGTGCTTGATTAGTGACCTAAAATGAGATCATGAATATCAGAAAGCTCAAAGAACTACAACTGCAGAACTCACTTCAGCCAAGATTTGTGAACAACAGCCAAATAACGCTGTTGTTTAGAAGTTTCTTTCAGGTGCTTCTTTGGTACACCAAGTTCTTCCGATACTCTCTTCATTTTTGGTCATTTTTTGCAAAAGTTTCGGTATGAAAAATATGAAAATGGAAAATTAGGGAATGTTATTGTTGATTATTTTGATTTTGAACGTGACAAGTGTCTGAATGTCCGGCAGTCTGACTCTCAAACTGAACGACTGAACCGTGGCTAGAAGCCCGCTTGGTTGGATGTTAATCATAATCGTCCAATGAATCAATGACGGCTAAATATCTAGACTGTCTGTCGGGTCGTCAGATAGATAAATTGATAGATAGATATTTAGCCGTCATTGACTGAATATACAGGGTGGAGACTTCAACTAGAATGAATTCACTACTAGGGAAGTGAATGATTTTTCGTAGAATTCGCGAGACACGTCAACGTTTAAATGTATTTACCTACATTTGGCGAGCAATATGGAGAATATATAACCCTTCAGGAGTAGGATGAATCTACCCCAACATGTTTTTTTAAATGCAACCCCTCATTGCAAAGCTGGTTGAAGATGGATCCAGTGTACTGATCGTCATATTTTAGTTTTCAGTACGTTTGGTAGTCGTACAAAATCAGTATAATTGCGAAGGTTAATATATTTCCACCAGTTGCAATAACACTTCGTTTCGAACTGTGAATACATCGAAAAAAAAATAAACTTATTTGTGCGGCTCTATAAAAACACTGGAATACAATAGCAGATAGCAGTTGTAGCAAAAAATTGCCAAAAATTGTTCAACACACATTTTGAGCGATTGATACGTTGAAAAAAAGAATTTCAAAATTACATTTCAATTTTTTGCATCATTTAAACTTATGAAGAACCAAAATTTGACTAGTATTCTGAATTCCTCTTTCCACCAGCTCTCCAACGAAGGGTCTCAGGCCATAGGATTACATTTAAAAAATCATATTGAGGGTGTTTTCAGCTACTCCTGGAAGGATATATTTTCGATGGTGCCTCCAAAAAGTAGGTGAATACAAAATCGTTGACGTATTTCGAGAATTTCCAGAAAAAATATTCACCTTCCCACTAACGAATTTATTCCAGTTAGACTCTATAGAGTCTCCACACTGTATATTTACTTTTTTCACACTTCAAGCGAGCTTCTAATGATTTAATGATCATAGATACGGCCTATTTTTGAATACTGTTATCATATTTAGGATTCAGCACCCAAACACATGTTGATGCTCTCTGATTCCATCCAGAGAAGGGCAATGTCACCTGGTGGGTGATGTCACACTCACCAGTTTTTTGACGTCATTGAAACACTGTAGAAAAGTCGGCGACCATTCACTTTCCTATAGATATAACATCTATAGAAAAGTGTATTTTACTTCCACAAGAAATGTTCAGAAATCTCTGCTATCATTCCCCATCACTAGCAATAGTAGCAATATCAGACGAAATCGACAAGCCCATGCAGTCTGTACATTATCTTACCTACATGCCGTTATCAATTTTACCATGTATACGGTGATGCTTATTATTTAAGGGTTCAGGTTCTTGAAGATTACTTTTCAGATTCCTGTTCTCCTCTACGAAGAAGGCCAACAGTTTTTCTTTCCCTACGGAGTGACGGGGGAAGAGGTTGGTCCAGCCCTGTGGTGCCCCCTGCGAGTACAGGACTAGGGCTCTTTCCCAGAGGCCCCGTTAGCGACACCATACCTCGGTGCCATATTCATCCATCGCCACGTGTTCGTTCCCACAGGTTGGATTTCATAGCCTCGTATGGTACGCACATGTGAACGTACGATGTTCTTCGACCATCATAGGAATTCCCTTTCTCCAATAAAAGATGAAAAAATGAAAAGTAAAAATAAAGCTACTGGTGAATTTGTTAATTATATTTCCACGCATTGAACATCTATAGGCTGTAAGATAAGCAACATAACTTGTTATTTTCACTATTTTAATGATTTTGTCGAAAAATAGAAGTTTTCTTGATAAAAATGCGGCAGATTCACTAGTAATCCATTTGAAAAATGAGTATTTGTCAACGATTCAACAATATAATATACATTATGAATGCCTTTTTACTTTTTAATATACATTGGATCGAATGTATTGCAAACATTTACAATTGTACTGTAAAAACAAACATTCGAACAATACATTGCTAACAATGTATTGAAATAATTGATTTAGCGAAATTCATCAAATGCAATAACCCATTTTTGCAATACATTAAGCCTCATGTATTCCAAATAAAAACATGGTAAAAACTACTTTTTAATATACATTGGATCGAATGTATTGCAAAAACTCATTTTTGCAATACATTAACACTCATGTATTGTACAAACAATAGATGGAGACTCAAGTTATCGCAAAAATCCATCATATCTACTGTGATGAAATTTTATTTATTGCAAAAATGGCAATTTTTACAATACTTCGCTTTCAATGTAGCGCAGAAAATCAGTTTTTACAATAGGTGTTTTTACAATCCTAGTTTCGGAGAAACATGAACTCTATTTTTATTAAAAAGTAAAAGAGACCTCAATAAAATATATATGAGTGATGTTCAGATGACTGGAACCTATCAGCGTAAGCATTCCAGTGTTTACTATAAATCAGAGTAATCGCCATTGTATCATATTCATTGGGTTACGCCAGTACAAGTTGTAGACACCGCCATCCTTAAACCTAACCCTAAAACAGTTCAAATTTGAAAATACCGGTCAACAAACAACAAATAGTATAGTAGTTTAATTTTTAAGATCAAAATGATCACAGTTCGATGTATGGTTTGTCGTCGAAGACTCAATACTACCAAATCGCTAATCGTCCACTACCTCAAAGGCCATTCAAAACTGAAAATCATCAAACACCTATTGAAAGTCAGTATAATCCAATCCACGCAAGTCTTACGCAATTATTTACCAATAAAAAGGCGAAAAAACATCAGGAAACCAACCAGGAAAGTCCTCCTCAATTCAGAATCGCTCCAAACAGAAACTTTGTACCTGAATGAAAACATCAGGATACTGTGTGGGCCCAATGAAGTCATCATTGGAGACAGCAAGAGTAGTGTTGATACGGAATTTTCATTCCAAGACTCTTCTACGGAAACCAAAAAGAATATGAAATCCAGGAAAAGAGGGTCACAAGATTTGGATAATGGGGATGATAATAATAATGCCAACCCTAAATGCCTTCAGATTTCATGTTCACCATCAGCATCCTCAGAAGGTAATTTATCTATAACAAATACTAGCCAAGGAATAAAGTTTATTGGTGTCAGTGGCTTTTAGAATTATTATTATTGAAAAAAAATGCATAAACAGGTATCCAACACACCCTGTACAATAAAAACCTAATTTTCCTTTTAGCTCTGCCAGAAACATTTGAGCAAATAAAGATATATTTATTGCCAGTTATCATGATCTTCTATTCATTTGGTCTTTATTTTTTTCCTGAGAAATTTCAGGGAAAACAACATCAGTGGCTTGACATATTTTTAAAATATAAATATCACTTTATTTACCCCTTAGGACACCACTGGAATGATTATGAAAAACTCTTATTACATCATAAAAATACATATAGGTATTGTCCACTTGAACACTTCTGAGTGGTTTTTTTATGGATGTAACCAATAAGCAAGAACAAAACACAAATGTGAACCAATGAAAACATAATAAACAGACCACTTTAGCAGCTTTCAAAAACCCCAATAGGTGGCGTATGTTTAATTTCTATTGCTCATAAAGTCAGTGTCGGCGTGTTCAAAGTATCTTTTGGAAAGTACCTTCTGAAATTTCAGCCCAATCACACTATATTTTTTCAGAAATTAGACTTCTTTACTTCTTATAATTATTGAAGGTTGATATAACTTTGATACTCTGTATCTCTAACCTACCAGTTGGTTTAAAAACTAGTCATAGGAACTATTTCCTTTTTTTGCTGGGTTTTTCCCTTTAATTGTTCTACCATGTCAAAGTAACACTCTGTCATAAGATCAGAACTCAGTAGCATAATCAGATCCTTGTATGTGTCACCTAATTATACTTTTTGAGTTTTATACCATTTGAAAGTAACACTCTGTATCTGTCAGAACTCGGAAGCATTATCAAATTCCATGTTTGTGTTACCTAACCACATTATGTTAGGACACATTTTTGTCATCCAGAAAGGTATTCTAGGTAGGTACTTACTAGTTTTTTCGATTAATACTGTCAATATGCTGTATAAGTAGGTATTGCGGTAGTTAAGCCACCCCCCACTCCTTCTTATGATGTTACCGCTTTTATTGAACCTAGGAAAGATGGTGGAAAAATATACACAGTCAGATTGAGTATGGCATTTGCGCTTACCTAGATTCTGTCCAAGAAATCGAGCGTAAAAAAACTCCCCCAAAATAGCACAATAACGCCACTATCGCATAGAAATAACATGTACTCGCAGAGCTCCAAAAGCTCAATCTCGGAACGTTATTATGTTTCCAACATCAGATAATTCGTTGAAAAAACTTGGACAGTTGATACCTTGTAGGAGCGTATTGAAATATGTCAGATCATTGTGTTTTCATGAGTTTTCTAGGTACTTCTAGGCCTTTCAATATCAATATCATCTCATTTCATGTTATTGAGAAGAGAATCAGTAGGTATTGCAATGGTTGAGCTACCCTACACTTCTCACTTTCGAAGAAGAGGTGGAGCGAGAGGTTGTAGGTATTGCAGTGGTTGAGCTTCTCTTAATAATTTTCACACACTGAAAGGAGGACTAAGAAGTGGTTCAACCTTGGAATCATAAAAAATATACAGAATGATCATGATAATTCCTATGACAGTTGCGATAACCAATCTGCTAATCATATAGTACATATTATTTTCACTAGGTAGCAATTCGAGCCAATCGATTAAAAAGAGAGGCAGTTAAAGGTGTTAGAAGTTGACCTCGAAAAAATGAGAAAAAAAAACAGAATCACGATCACAATTACTATGAAAGTTGCGTTAATCACTTGGCTTATTAAACGGTTCATATTTTCTCCAGGTAGCAATTCGAGCCCTCCAATTCACGAGAGAAAAAACTCCCAAAAAAGCGCAACAGCATAGACATAACTAAACTTCAATACACTTAGTGTTTACACAATATTATTCATTCAAAATCCGATGGTTTGTTCAAAAATCTTGGACTATAGAAGTTGATCTCATTTCATGTTATTGAGAAGATAATTAGTAGGTATTGCAGCGGTTGAGCTATCCTCCACTCTTCCTCATGTTCGAAAAAGAGGAGGAGCGAGATATGGTAGGTATTGCAGTGATTGAGCTATCCCCCTCCTAATTATCACGCAACAAGAGAAGGAGTAATAAGTGGTTCAACGTACCGAAATTTTACGATCAAATCATGAAGAATATACAGACTCACGTTGATAATTACTATGGCAGTTGCCGAGCGGTTCGCGCTCGGCTAATATTATGGTTCATATTTTCTCCAGGTAGTACTTCGAGTTATATGATTTGCAAGAGAAAATCAAGCGCAAGAAGAACTTTCCCAAAAAACATAACATGAAACTCCAAAAAAGCTCGGTGTTCGGGCAATATTATTTTTTCAACATCCGATAATTTGTTGAAAAAACTTGGACTATAGAAGTTGAAACCTTGTAGGGATGTGTTAAAATCTCTCAGATCATCCTGATTGCATAGGTTTTCTAGGTACTTCTATTATATTCAAAATAAATTGTCATCTTTTTTTATTGGGAGAAACAGTAGGTATTGTGGTGGTTGAGCTATCCCCTCTCCTGATTTTCACGCACTAGAAGGAGTGAAAAGTGGTTCAACCTAGCAGAAGTTAACCTTGAAATAAAATCACAATTGCTATGAAAGGTGCGCTAGCCACTCGACTCGTCATAGTTTCATATTTTCTCCAGGTAGCAATTAAAGACATCAGATTTACAAGACAAAAATCAAGCGCAAAAAGAAATTTCCCTATCGCATTAACATAACAAAACTTCAAAAAAGCTCAGTGTTTAGGCAATATTATTTTTTCAACATCCGATAATTTGTTGAAAAAACTTGGACTATAGAAGTTGAAACCTTGTAGGGATGTGTTGAAATATCTCAGTTAATTCTGGTTGCATAGGTTTTTCTAGAAACAGTAGGTATTGCAGTGGTTGAGCTATCCCCGCACTAAAACGAGGAGGGGGAGTAAGAAGTGGAGTAAGAAGTGGTTCAACCTAGCAGAAGTTAACCTTGAAATAAAAAAGTTATACAGAATCACAATTACTATGAAAGGTGCGCTAACCACTCGACGTATTATTTCGTTCATATATTCCCCAGGTAGCAATTCGAGCCATCCGATTTACAAGACAATAATCAAGCGCAAAAAGAAGTTCCCCCAAAAACTGCAACAGCGCCGCTATCGCATAAACATAACGAAATTCTAAAGAAGCTCACTGTATAGGCATCATTAGTTTTTCAACATCCGATAATTTGTTGAAGAAACTTGGACTATAAAAGAAGTTGAAACCCTCTAGGGATGTGTTAAAATATCTCAGGTCATTCTGATTGCAAGGTTTTCTGGGTAGGTACTTCCATCATATTCAAAATAAATTATCGTCTTTGTTAATGTTATTGAGAAGAGAAACAGTAGGTATTGCGGTGGTTGAGCTATCCCCTCTCATGATTTTCACGCCGTAAAAGGAGGCGGAGGAGTAAAAAGTGGTTCAATCAAGCAGAAGTTAACCTTGAAATCAAAAAAATATATACAGAATCACAATTACTACTGCGCTAAGCACTCGACTCATCATATGATTAATATTTTCTCCAGGTAGCAATTCGAGCCATCCGATTTACAAGCGAAAAATCAAGCGCAAAAAGAACTTTCCCAAAAAAGCGCAACAGCGTCACTATCGCATAGACATAACGAAACTCCAAAACGCTCAATCGTTGGACGAAAAAAACGGCCACTTTTACACCTGCCATTGCAGAGAGAAGAAATACAGGGAGCCAAATAATGTTCTGCAAAAAGGCGATCTGAGGATCATCACTTCCGATACCGAATCTTGTTCTGATTCTGGAAAGTATTCGTTCATGCCGATCGTCGATACGAAGGTGTTTTGCCAAAAATGCGGCAGTGGGTACAAGACGGAAGAAGAATTGGTTGATCATATGTACGTGCACGAGTCTTTCTGTCGACTTTGTAACATCCCGTTCGCCTGCGAGTTCAGTTTCAAGCAGCACATGCAACTACACGTCTTCAGGTAACTATCATTTTTTCCCCATTATTTACTTGAAAACTCCCTAGTTTCTAACATGAAAACTTCACACCTAACATTTTTGATCAATTAAATGCCTACAGTTTGAATCGTTACCATAGCAACCAAATAAATTTCTGGAAATTTTGTCTTCAGGGGAAGGAGCATGAAATTACACTGGACATTATTTGACGGTTATAGGTGAAATGACGTTTACATTCAACTTCAGATTACGTTGAAGTCATTCTTCAATTTGATAAGTTCCTATTGAGAAAATATATTTCTACCAACTTCAGCTAAAATGAGTTTGTAAAAAACTGGGAGATTGAGCTACTATCGATTTATTTTTTATTATTTCATTTTACTCAAGTTGTTTATTCATATTTCATTCAACTCAATGATATTACGTAAGCAAATTTCATTCATAAATAGTACTTCAAGTTTCTTGTAAGAAAATGTAGGTATTTTTATTAACTTTAGTAAAATGAATTTGTGAAAAACAGAGAAATTGAGATACTATCGAATTATTTTTATTATTTTGTGTAACTAAAGTAAGTTATCATTGTGGTTTGTTTCACCTGACAATGTTATGGATATATCCATATTTCCGATAACGTCTATCCACAAGTGATCAACTAGGCGGATTTCCCAGGACGAGGCAAATATCACCGAATGTTCACATTTTATGTCTCGCCGATATTCAATATTGGTATGAAAATATTCTACCAATATTCTCAAGAGGCGAGAACATAGCAACGTAATAATTTTCAATGATCCAACTAATATTACACCAATATTGTCAATGTTCACTTTCCATTTCTCGCCAATATTGATTTCATATTTTATGACCAACAACAACAACAACAACGGATATTCAACCAACATTGGTTAGGAAATATTTCACCAATGTTTTCAAGACGACATTGCAACATGATGATTTTTAATATTCTACCCACATTTTGAAACTAATATTGTACCAAATATCGCCGAATGTTCACATTTTGTTTCTCGCCAATATTACGTTCACAATATTTTGCCGATGTTCTCGTGATATTGCACCGATACTGTCCTAATATACAGTGTGTGCGATTTCAACCCGCAACACCCTTCTAATTTGGGACCAGTCGAACGATTTTCAAAAACGAAAATTGCTTAATTTAGTACTCAACGAGCTCTCTCCGAAAATGTGGACAAATCTGAAATATTCAGAGATTTCCAAGGCCTACTCCTGTTTGTTGAAAAGGTCGAAATTTCAAAAACGACTGTTAGGCATCTTTTTTTTCGAAACAGTGACTAGACTATTCCATTCGGGCATAGATGAAATACCCCCATGCAAAATTTGATCGCTATATCTCATATAGGGTGTTAGTTTATTCAATGGCAAATTTTGCTATTTTTGATTTTTTGATCCACCCTGTATGGAAATACGAGGAGTTGGCGTAACCATTGGAGTGGTTATTGGATGAAGAAACACATCGAATACTCACACACAAAGTTCTATCTTTTTGAGTTCTACAGGAAGATGTCTATGGTTTAGCAAAAAACCAATCAAACTAAAGTTGAAAATTATTATAATTCATACCTTCATGATTGGTGTCTTCAATATACTCCCATCACGCTATATGCATTTTTCATATCGTCGCCTCAAATTTTGGCTGGTTCTCCTCAGTTGTTCTGGCGTGATATCTCTATACCGTTGTTGAATCCTTTCTCGCAATTCGTTCACGTTTTGGGGTCTTTTTTTTTTCTTATCGCTTGGAGCGCACGAAAGGAAATCCCTATAATGTTCAAAGAACATCGTGCGTTCCTAGGGAGGATAGGGACAGGTGGTAGGTATTGGATTTTTTTGAACTTCTGGAGATTAGGTATATGTTGTTGGGAATACTTCCTCAGATAATGAATTCCAGAGCCTAGCCGTTCTATGGATGAAGGAGTTTTGATAAAGTGCTGTTCGACATCTTTCGAGGTTGACAACGAAAGGATGTGCTGACTGGGCTTGTCTAGTTCGTCTGACTGGTATTGCCAGTGAAGGGATGATAGAAGAGATTTCCGAAGAACATTGCCCGTGGAAGTATCGATAGAAAAGTGAAACGTCGCCGACCTTTCTACGGTATTCCAATGATGTCAAAGAGTGAGTGAGTGTGGCGTCACCCACCAGGCGAATGGCTCTTCTCTGGATGGAATCTAAGAGCATCAGCGTATGTTTTGGTGCTGATAACCCCATATGCGGGAACAGTATTCTAGAACAGGCCGCTGTTGAGGTGTAAAGTAGCTTTTCTCACGGAACAAGAATCCGAGTTTTTGTGAAGCAGCTTTTGCGATGGATCTGACATGATTATTCCATGAAAGAGTGTTGCTGATGGAAATACCGAGCATAGATATGGTGGGCTTGGTGGGGATGGTGGTGCCAGACATTACAATGTCGGGCATACTGAGTTCCGCCTTTCTAGAGAAAATACAGGCTTGAGTTTTGGTGGCATTGAATTCAACTAGGTTGTTGGTTCCCCAGGCTGTGATTTCAGCAAGGACTTCATTGACAGCATTGACCTGCCTGCGCCGTGAGTTCTTAGTTTACTGGGAAGAAATGGTAATTCTGAAAGAGAACGCAATATGGAGGGTACTATAATCTGCAGAGCTGTGGATGGAGCTAGTTGTTACTCCCAACAGATCATTGATATGAAGAAGGAATAATGTTGGTGCCAAAATAGATCCTTGTGAAACGCCGGAATTGACGCCAATGGTATCAGACGATACACCGTCCACCACCACGTGGAGCGATCTGCCTGAGAGAAAACTCGATAAGAGATGGCATAGCTGAGGTGGTAAGCCGTATGATGGTAGTTTGTGGAGGAGTCCTTCGTGCCAAACACGGTCGAATGCTTTCGATATGTCCAACGCGACAGCTAGAGATTCCCCGTGTTTTTCTAATGAAGCTTGCCATGAGTGGGTGACGTAGGCAAGTAGATCTCCAGTAGATCTTCGGTGGCGAAAGCCATATTTTATAATATTCTCTTTGAGTATCCCCACAGAAAAACAATTTAATGGCGTTAGAGCGTATGTGAGTACTCGATGTGTTTCTTTATCCAATAACCACTCCAATGGTTACGCCAACTCCTCATATTTCCGTACAGGGTGGATCAAAAAATCCAAAAAAGAAAAATATGCCACTGAATAACTAACACCCTATATGAGATATAGCGTTCAAATCTTGCATGGGGGTATTTCTTCTATGCCCGAATCGAATAGTCTAGTCACTGTTTCGAAAAAATATTGCCTAATAGTCGTTTTTGAAATTTCGACCCCTTCAACAAACAAAAGTAGGCCTTGGAAATCTGAATATTCCAGATTAGTCCATATTTTTGTAGAGAGCTCGTTGAGTACTATATTATGGAATTTCTGTTTTCCAAAATCGTTCAACGGGTTCCAAATTAGGAGTGTTGCGGGTTGAAATCGCACGTATGTGTGCAACTTGGGAAAACTTTCATCATTTTCGAAACGTGTGAAATTACATGTCAAAATTAGAAAAATATCAATTACCATCAGGCTATTCGTCTGTCACGTGTGCCACGCCGAATTCCCCTTCAAGGACATGCTGCTCAGACATTTCGATTGTCACGTGGAAGACAGGACGTTCGAAAACGTGCTGGACATGGAGGAGGACTACAGGATGTGCAGGTACAATTTCATGAGCAGAAACTACCGTTCTAGTATCAACAGCATTCTGCGATTTCTAGGGGATTTACCGGATATTTATTATTGTAGTTATAGATTCTCGAAAATTGTCTGTGATATATGCTACGCCGAAGTGTATTTTTACGAGTACGAGAGGCATTTGCAGAGCTGTCATAACTATTGAATTCATCAGAAACTGCGCGAAATTCGTTCTGCTAAGCCTCATTAATCGATTTCACTGTATTTTTTTGCAATAATGATGAATCTAATCGACGGCAGTTGAAGGAGAATGAAATGGTTCGAATCTCTGACATATACTTTCCAAGATATCTTGAAGAAATTATATCGTCCTGATACATTTCAACGCCCTGTACACTTCTCAACGAACCCTGCTTTGGTGAATTAGGTATCAACCTTGGAAGCTATGTTGATGCAAGGTTGTAGCAAATACTGAAACGAACGTTCAGCAATATTGCAAGAGTGAAATTTGTAAATGTAACGTTCCAGCAATGTCACAGCAACATGTAATATTGCAGCAACGCTACATTATCAAACTTTACTTTTGCAATATTGCTGAACTTCCGTTTCAGTAATTGCTTCAATATTGCATCAATGCCCTTAATGAAGTCTTCTAGAGGATGTGCAGGTACAATTTCATGAGCAGAAACTATAGTTCCAGTATAAACAGCATACTGCGCTTTTTAGGGGATTTACCGGATATTTATTATTGTAGTTATAGATTCTCGAAAATTGTCTGTGATATATGCTACGCCGAAGTGTATTTTTACGAGTACGAGAGGCATTTGCAGAGCTGCCATAACTATTGAATGAAAATCAAAATTTATCAGAAACTGCGCGAAATTCGTTCTGCTAAGCCTTATTAATCGATTTCACTGTATGTTTTTGCAATAATGATGAATCTAATCGACGGCAGTTGAAGGAGAATGAAATGGTTCGAATCTCTGACATATATCCAAGATATCTTGAAGAAATTATATCGTCCTGATATATTTCAACGCCCTGTACTCTCCTTAACGAACCCTGCTTTGTTGGATTAGGTATCTACTTTAGTAACCTTGTTATTATCAAATATTGTTTATTAGCAAACTAGCAGTATTTAAAAAAACTAAACAAATTTGGAAGCTATGTTGATGCAAGGTTGTAGCAAATACTGAAACGAACGTTCAGCAATATTGCAAGAGTGAAATTTGTAAATGTAACGTTCCAGCAATGTCACAGCAACATGAAATATTGCAGCAACACTACATTATCAAACTTTACTTTTGCAATATTGCTGAACTTTCGTTTCAGTAATTGCTTCAATATTGCATCAATGCCCTTAATGAAGTCTCCTACAGGATGTGCAGGTACAATTTCATGAGCAGAAACTATAGTTCCAGCATACTGCGCTTTTTAGGGGATTTACCGGATATTTATTATTGTAGTTATAGATTCTCGAAAATTGTCTGTGATATATGCTACGCCGAAGTGTATTTTTACGAGTACGAGAGGCATTTGCAGAGCTGCCATAACTATTGAATGAATATCAAAATTCATCAGAAACTGCGCGAAATTCGTTCTGCTAAGCCTTATTAATCGATTTCACTGTATGTTTTTGCAATAATGATGAATCTAATCGACGGCAGTTGAAAGAGAATGATATGGTTCGAATCTCTGACATATACTTTCCAAGATATCTTGAAGAAATTATATCGTCCTGATACATTTCAACGCCCTGTACTCTCCTCAACGAACCCTGCTTTGGTGAATTAGGTATCAACCTTAGTAACCTTGTTATTATCAAATATTGTAAATTAGCAAACTAGCAGTATTTAAAAAAACTAAACAAATTTGGAAGCTATGTTGATGCAAGGTTGTAGCAAATACTGAAACGGACGTCCAGCAATATTGCTAGAGTGAAGTTTGTAAATGTAACGTTCCAGCAATGTCACAGCAACATGTAATATTGCTGCAACGCTACATTATCAAACTTTACTTTTGCAATATTGCTGAACGTCCGCTTCAATATTGCATCAATGCCCTTAATGAAGTCTGCAGGTACAATTTCAGAAACTATAGTTCCAGTATGAACAGCATACTGTGCTTTTTAGGGGATTTCCAGATATTTATTATTGTAGTTATAGATTCTCGAAAATTGTCTGTGATATATGCTACGCTGAAGTGTATTTTTACGAGTGAAAGAGGTATTTGCAGATGTGTTATAACTTTTGAATGAATATTAAAATGCATCAGAAGAAAAGATACTGCGCGAAATTCGTTCTGTTTTGCATTATTAATCGATTTCACTTCATGTTTTTTGCAATAATAATGAATCTACTCAACGGCAGTTGAAGGAGAATGATATGGTTCGAATTTCTGACATACTTTCCAAGATATCTTGTAAAAAACTATATCGTCCTGATACATTTCAACGCCCTGTACACTCCTCAACGAACCCTACTTTAGTGAATACAAAGGTAATTCAAATTAGGTATAAACCTTAGTAACCTTGTTATTAACAAATGTTGTGAATTAGCCAACTAGCAGTATTTAAAAAACAAATCACCCTGTATAGATTCTCGAAAATTGTCTGTGATATATGCTACGCTGAATTGTATTTTTACGAGCACGAGAGGCATTTGCAGAGATGCCATAACTATTGAATGACTGTTTTTTCACTAGTACCTGAGATAATGTATTCATATACAGGATGATCAGTTTTTTATTTTTTCGAAAAATCCAAATGGGTGATAGAGTTGTTGATTTTCAACTTAGCAAATGCATCATGATATGCAAAGTACAGTCTCCATAATACAGGGTCGCTGATAGTATGTACAGTGTGATTTCAAAACGTGGCGGATTTGAAAATGTTATAGCCAATGTTGCCACTTTTTCAGTTATTCCGCATTTTTTGTGACTTCCTTATTTTGAATAAAACAACCTGTTCTTCATTAGAGCTTCAGATTCTCCTTGAAGAGTTGATTCCATCGATCTATCACACTTGGGGTCTAGCGGGAATGATTACATAGGTATAGGGTGTTTAAAATCAAGATTTTTCAACTTTTTTAATTTTTTGTGTCGAAACTATCCATTATCGATCAAAACCGCTCTAATGTTCCTATCCCTACTTTTGATTCACTATCTACTAACATTTAATTGGAACAGACACAGACGGTGATCAGAATTCTGAATCTTGAACCACCCTGTATTTGTTTCAATTAAATGTCAGTAGATGGTAAATCAAGAGTGAATATAGGAACATTGGAGCGGTTTTGATCGATAATGAATAGTTTAGACACAAAAAGTCCTAAAGTTGAAAAATCTAGATTTTAAACATCCTATACCTATGTACTCATTTCCGCTAGACCCCAAGTGTGATAGATCGATGAAATCAGCTTTCCAAGGAGAATCTGAAAATTCAACAAAGTACAGGGTGTTCCATTCAAAATAAGGAAGTTAATGTAAAATCCGGAATAACTGAAAAAGTGGCAACATTGGCTATAACATTTTAAACTCCGCCACGTTTTGAAATCAGACAGTACATAAATTCAAAAAAATCCAACAACAGGTTACTGAGATATTCACTTGTTTCCATACATATCAGTGACCATGTATAACAACGCCGACAAAAAGAATCGCCTTGGTCTACAGCAGTTGATCAAGTCTATTTTTTCTCTGAATGTGATTCAGTTAATTCATCAAATAATTAAATTTGACATTTCTTCATTTTTTACCGAAAATGTTTTCAAATGTCAATAATTATTGTCCATCAATATTTTAAGAACTGTCATTTAGGTTGTAGGATTTTTCACGAGAAAAATTCTTCGATTTTTTCTAATCAAAATGTTTTGTGATAATATGATAATGCATTTAAAAACATGGTTAACCTTTATCAATTGGTTCACTGACACTAATAGAATCTTTTGACATTTGACATATCTTCATTTTGTTTACCGAAAATATTTTCAAATGTCAATTATTAACCATCAACATTTCAAGAACTGTTATTTAGGTTAAAGGATATTTCACAAGAAAAATTCTTCAATTTTTTTTTATCAAAATGTTTTGTGATAAGTATGATGGTATATAATGCATTTAAAAACATGTTTACCCTTTATCTGAGATGTTCATAGTCTCTAGGCATCTTACCTTTATCAATTGGTTCACTGACACTCTAATAGAATCTTTTGACATTTGACATTTCTTCATCAACATTTCAAGAACTGCCTATTTAGGTTATAAGATATTTCACAAGAAAAATTCTTTTATTTTTTTTATCAAAATGTTTTGTGATACTCCAATAGAATCCTTAGTACATTTGACATTTCTTCATTTTGTTTACCGAAAATATTTTCAAATGTCAATTATTAACCATCAACATTTCAAGAACTGTTATTTAGGTTATAGGATATTTCACAAGAAAAATTCTTCGATTTTTTTTTTAATCAAAATGTTTTGTGATAAGTATGATGGTATATAACACATTTAAAAACATGGTTATCTTTTATCTGAGATGTTTATAGTCTCTAGGCATCTTACCTTTATCAATTGGTTCACTGACACTCTAATAGAATCTTTTGACATTTGACATTTCTTCATCAACATTTCAAGAACTGCCTATTTAGGTTATAAGATATTTCACAAGAAAAATTCTTTTATTTTTTTTATCAAAATGTTTTGTGATACTCCAATAGAATCTTTTGACATTCGACATTTCTTCATTTTGTTTAACGAAAATATTTTCAAATGTCAATTATTAACCATCAACATTTCAAGAACTGTTATTTAGGTTATAGGATATAGGTTATAGGATACAAGAAACATTTTTTGAATTTTTTGTTAAGCGAAATGTTTTGTGATAACTATAAAAAAATTCTATCGGTGACGTCCTATTTTTTGAATTGGTTGCACTTCATCAATAATTGGTTCACTGACACTCTAATAGAAGACTGACTTATTTTTTGTTATTGTTATACGCATACAGTGTCCACCATAAGAGTTCCTAACATTTGGAAAGAAGCACCTTTTTTAAATATTTTGACATCTAACCCTACTTTTTTATTTTTTCGATTTGTCGCTCTACTAATAATCACGTGACCTGTGTCGAAATCCATTTTTAGTTTAGGTATCTGACATGCAGAATTAAACGGCCGATTTATTTTCCTCTTAAACTGTTATGAATTTTATGTCGGATACTGTGTATCAGAATTGTTTCGTTAAGTTTATTTTTTTTTATAGAAAATATTTTTATTTTTATCAACTAATGAAGTTATTTTTTGTATATATGTTCAGGTTGTCTGTTGAATAAAATAAAGTTAATAAAGAGTAAAACGTATGAAATTCTCAGAACAATTCCACCAAATTGAAAATAAAGAAAATATACACTTACAATTTGGTCCACCCCACCTCTGTACTTTTCTATTCCTAGAGCGATCTGAAATTTTTTTTCTCATAAGATACTACTCAAAATTATCTACTATGTCGAGCAACCTGAAATTATCAATCACAATTTATTGGCCTTCTGCGATCACGAAAACTCCAGCAAAAATAAAGAGAACGGATTGGGCATTTCTTTGCAAAAATTTCGATTATGGCAATCGATGCAGACTAATCACAAATACTCCTATATCTATTTTCAAAACAATATCTGGTTAGGGGCGTTTTTTATCAACGTTACAATTTTTGAATAATTGCATATCGCAAGTCACCGTGTATAATAAATTCTATAAGAATTTGAATGATACCAGGCATGATGGTAGTCAGGATTAGGTCATCTGTTTACAGAGTGAGATATAAAATAACGAATGAAATCACTAGAAATTTTAAATTTCCAGAAATAACACGAAGAAAAAACTAAATAATACCGATCAAAAAATAGCATCAAGAAATTAGAAAACAAACACTAAAACAGCAACCATTCCTAACAAGTTCAGATTTTTGTATTGTCGACCAAATCTACTTCATTCTCTATT